CGCAGATCTGGAGCGACAACTGATGAATGCCTGGCAGAATATTGTTCTATATTTGTTCAAACAGAAACATCCATACAGAAATCATACTACATATTAAAATAAACAAAGCAAAACATCAGGATTAAAAATATACTATTTTTTCATCTGGGAGAAAAAAATAACATTTTTTTAATGTTCTACAGCAGTTCCTTTGGTATAATTTCCCATGCCATAAAACTCTTGAATGAAACTTTTGTTCAACACATTAATCAGCATTTAATTAATTAATTAAAATTTAAAAATAATGTGGTACCTGTCTCATTGCTATATAAATACAGAATATAATAAACTTATAACATTAAAACATACATGACATTTATTTGAACTGCATCTGGTTGTTGACATTATAAGCTTGATATTTTAATAAATATATATACTTCATTTTCTAAATACATAAGAACACGATTTCCTTTTGCAAACACAGACAAAATTAGCTTTTCATTCTTATACTATAATTAAAATTTGTAATGCTTTTCATATTTAAAACTAGCACTAGTTTTAAAACCAGCGCCTTTATAATGCATTATTTAATCAATAACTTCATAAACACACTTACTCCAGGAACAACTCCATCATATCTATATACTTTTTCTGGACCTTTCTTTAGAGCAGGATCAATAATCAGTTTGTAGTTTCTTTTTTTTTTCTCTACCTGGTCAGCATGAAGAGGCCTCATTCCATTCATTTCTGGGAGACGAAAAAAAAAAAGGGAATTTTTTAAGCAAATAAGAAAAAAAATCTTGAATAGAATCTTTATAGAAAAATTACTATCTTGCAATATTCTACTTGCATAAAAAATAATAAATAAAATAAACAGTATTTGGATATTAGTGCAACCACCTTGATACAGCTTGGTGAATTTTACAGAAAAAGAATGATGATATATAATCATAAAAATTATTAATACATCTAAATACATTATTAGATGTACATTTTACATTTTAAATTGGTATTTATCTCCCAAAACAACCAATAAACCTACTTTAATTAGGCTTTTGTGTTTCTTGTTCTAACGAAAATTTTGTGACTATTACTTTATGAAGAGATTCTAGCAAATTTGCAGAAAAATACTTTACTTCAGCAGATATTTTACTGGAGTTTCTTTCAATGCAGGCAAATCATGCAAACACAAATGTAAAATATGGGGTGTAAAACAAGAAATTTATAGGGTATTTCTCATGCCTTCTTAGCATGACTTCCTGGTGTAGTGGTCAGCACACTCGGCACGTATTTGCGAGGTCCGTGGTTCAAGTCCTGGTGAGGGCATTGCTCATTTTTGATCTCTCCTGATTCAACAATACCTAATGTATTTACAACTTATTATGGTCTGTCTATAAAACCATTGGAATTAGGACTACAACATCGAGACTGCATACAAAATTGCCACAATGGTTGTTAAAACCGATGATCACTACATGTATGGTTGCCAGTTTAGCAATTTCTATTAAGATAATTATGATACTACATAACTACCAATTAAAAAATTGCAAGCAAAAAATTAGTAAATTTTTTTGACAATTTATTTTAATCATAGTAATGTACAGAAATTTCAAGTGTAGCTTTAGTCATTTTGTCTGTAATGTAAATTAACGTGCAAAGATGGTGCAACATTTAATAGAAAAAGCCATTTTGTAATATAAATCATCCATTTTTTAATTCCAGCATACTTTATGTAATTTTACAAATTACAGAAAATCACGAAAATTCATAATAAAATTTTATTAATAAAACATGGTGCATGCTGAGACTTTCAAATCAGAAAAAATAATGAGCACATAGTAGTATACATAATTTTCACATTTCTCTGGATTTGCTCTCATGGTACAAGAGTTTGTGCGACAGCTAGCATTTGAAAGATTCTTGGTTCAAATTCTAATAAAAGTTTATTTCTTCTAAACCTCAGCTCATTAAAACCTATGGTTTCTATGATGGCTTTCAAACCAAGATGAGGAGGATGATAATCCATCATCATCTGAAATTGGCCAACTTGGCCTTGTGCCTCTTTCTGCATCCCATCTTACCAGATTTAAATTGATGATCTATAATCTGGAATCGCCGAAGTCCCGACAAGTCTGTATTAAAGACTTTTGATTGTAGTTAGGATTTCCACATTAGAAGCTGTATATCTCTGAAAGAATTTCTCTCTTGTTAGATAGTAAACACCCATAAAAAACAGCCTAAAAGTACACCCTTGAGCAAAAAAAAAAAAAAAAAAAAAAAAAAAAAAAAAAAAAAAAAAAAAAAAAAAACAAAAAAAAAAAAAAAAAAAAAAAAAAGGGAGCACAATATCTCCTGTTCATTCTATTGGGTCGACTGACAAAATTTAACTTGTGTTTTCATGTCTCGAAAGTGCAGCATAGTATATATGTAAAACTTATACATAGCATAGTTCTAAAACAACATATCTACATTTTCCATAATTTCACATCTATGATTCAAATTATGCCAAAGTGCCAAGATTTGTAAAAATCGCATAAGTAGTTTTTAAAAAATTAGCTCTCAAAATTTTAGCTCTTCAGTGTTACCTAAATTTGGTATACATTTATTAAAACTTTTTTTTTTTTAATTAAACTTACTTTATTTCTTATTTCTTGATTCATATATTTACGAGTACCCCTTGGCGAAAATGGGTGATTTTTGGCAGTATATAGATACTGAATTTGTGCAATTCCTTTGATTTGTTATTTTGGCTTGTGCAGCAGCGATTTTTGCACCAAAAATACTACGCAAAGATAAAATAACAAGACAAAGAATTGCACAAACTCGGTATCCATGTACATATTGACCTATTTTCACTTAAAATAACATAAGAGAATTGCACAAAATTGGCACTGCACACTCCCTTGACTTTATCCATGTACACATTAACCTATTTTTCACTTGAAAAAAATCAGATTAGCACAAATTAGGAATTGTGCACTTCATTGACTCTGTCCATGTACACATTGAACTATATTCCCTTAAAAAGTCAAAGGAGCAGCCAATAAAAAAACATATAATATCAATAAACTACACTTAATCAAAGTATTGAATTAATAAACATATAAAAAAGTAAATTTTCTTTGCACTACACAAAGGAAATACAATAAAACAAAATTCTTTAACAGCATCCAAAAACCTTCTAAATTTATCTGAACTTTTAAATTTATCTGTATACTGCGTCGCCCCATAATCACAAGTGTAAAAATATAGCCTCATTAGCGCCTATTATATCCAACATGTCGACATCCGCATTTCCTTTCTACAAATAGAGACACAAATGTTAGTTAATAAGTAACATTCTTTATACACCAGTCAAGTAATGCTCTTCTTCCTTTCTTTCCCCATCCTCCAGAAACTTAAAATTAATCTTACACATCAGTCATTTTACGGTTTTTTAAACCCCAAACCAATCAAACACTTCATAGCCAACCACAACACACAAAGCTCTTACAAATGTACCACCAATCATGCAAATCTCGATTATGTCATACCAGGGTTTCCATAACATTCAACTACTCAGGCTACCATAAATGAAACAACAACTTCGCGATAATACAAGGGGTACCCTTCTCTGTACTCTAACCAATAAAATTTGTAGCTATTTTCTGATTTGTTTTTAAAATTTTTACATATTTTTCAAAATTTTTTTTATTATAACCAAATTTTTATTATAACAATTTAGCCATCATTTTAAAGCAGATGTATTTTTAGGAGCACCTGCAAAACAAATAATTTTTTTAATAAAAAATTCTGAATATAAACGTAAATTTATATATTGGCCTGCAGTTGAAATTTGGCATATTTGTTATAAGTGATATTAATGGTAAATATGGTTTGCATACTTTGTTAAAAATATTTCAAAGAATGAACGATGCAGCTTTTATTTCTGTTGAGCACAATGAAGAGGAAAGAAAAATTGGTAACTATTAATTAAGAATTTTGTTAAGTGAATTATTCTTGGTGCGAAAAAAAATGCACCAAGATAAATTTTTTAATTTCTCAGTTTTTCACCAAATTTTACATTTATGCAGAATTTGAGTCATGGAATCGAAGTATGGAAAAAAAAAGATCTCATTTCAGAAAAAGATTGATTTTGTGTCAAAATACCTATATTAGAATAATACTATAAATAAACATAATATATATCCTAAGTCCCGCTTTCGCGACATGAAAAATGCAAGTGAAATTTCAACAAGTGGCCTAGTAGAAAAAGAGATACAGAACTGTACACTGTTTTGGGTAGTCTATATTTTGGGGTACCCCTTGGATTATTGCCAAGTTCTTTCATTTATTTTTATGGTTACCTGAGTATTTTATGGGATATGTTTTGTAAACTCTATTATGATGTGATTGGTTGTAATGTGTGAAATGGCTGCCGGTGGTAAACTAGGTGTTTGATGGCATAAAACGAGGGTGCATTTTTTTAAAGTGGTTGAGGATAAAAGAAAAGAAACTTTTTTGGATGTAATTCAATGAAATATCTTATCTCAAACAATGATCATATCAGATTGCTGGAATTCATAAGATTGTATTTCTGATAATGGCTTCGTTCATCCTCAGTAAATTATGCAGTGACATTTTAAGGATCTGGAAACCGGAGCTCATATCAACACATTGAAAGGTATGTGGGGTGTAATAAAAAAGGATTTTCCAAAGAAATGCCACCAACAAACAGTCCAGCACTACAGAGGATATTTTTTATTCTTACTTATGTGCTGACAGCAGTAAACAAATTCTAGTTCAGATAAGTTAAAACAGTTTTTTAATGCTGTTAAAGATTTCTGTGTGCTACACACTGAAGACAGAAATTTCTAAATAAGGTGTACATGTGCGAAAGTGAAGATTTGTGGTTTTGGCATTAGGTTCTGCCAAAATAACGGAAAAAAGTACAGAAATTTCTAAATAAGGTGTACATGTGTGAAAGTGAAGATTTGTGGTTTTGGCATTAGGTTCTGCCAAAATAACGGAAAAAAGTAACTCAGACTGAGGGGAAAAAAAAAAAAAAAAACAAGAGAGGACAGAAACAGCTAATATTTGATTTTGGAATCAGGCTCTGCCCAAATAATGGGGAAAAAAGGTTAGAGTAGATTGAAGGGTGCCCCTTGTATTATCGCAGAATTGTTGATTTATTTATGGTAACCTGAGTAGTTGAATGTTATGGAAACCCTATTATGACGACATAATGGTTACGTAATTACGGTAAATTTTGAATTATGGGAAAAGACTTGTAAGGGCTTGTGGTGTGTGTTGGTTAGGAATACATGCTGGGTTGGTTTAGAGTAGAATGGCTGAATGTGGTAATTTGAAGTTTCTGTATGCTTTGGAAAGAAAGGGGAAAACAGCATTCACCGACTGGTGTGTAAATGAAGATTTACTTTATTAAGTGTCTTGTTTGTAGGAAGGAAATGCGTATGGTCGAGCAGTCGGACGATACCGGAGCTACGGAGCATATTTTCGACTCTTATTTTTGTGAATTTATGTCGCGACGCCAGTATACACATTCTACTTCAGATAATTTTCGGAAGTTTTTGGATGATGTTAAGGAGTTTTGTTTGACTGACGACACGTTATTCATAAATAAGGTAAGATCATATTTCCTTTGTGTAGTGCAAAGATGAATTTCCTTTATGTTACTTCAGGGCTTGATTTAAAATGTAGTTTATAGGGATTATATATTTTTGGTTGGCTGCTCCCTTGACTTTTTA